CCCCCCCCCCCCCCCCCCCCGTAGGTGAGCTCTGAACCGTGTGGCCACTGTCCATCTGTGACTGTGGCTAGAAGGAGGACATCAGAGACCCCCTGGCACGTGGCGCATTCAAGGGCACTGGCCTCCTATCACAGAATGTTCCAGGCCTCGGGGCTCTGAGACCCAGTTCCCAAGCCTGCAGCCTTCCTTCCTCAAAGCAGATAACCAGGCTGTCCTCCTGCCTTTGAAGCATTTCACTGCCCCGCTGTGGCTGCAGGCAGCATTTCTCTGAGACCTCTAAAAATGAGGCCACGAGGAACCCCTGGGAGCCCAGAGTCTCTGATGCTTTTGGATAAGGAGGTACCTGGGCTGACAGCACCCTCACGGTCCTAAACGCACAGGCAGACAAACGTCCCTCAGGGCTTCCCTGTCCATTACTCAGGAAAGAGCAGCTCTCCCTAAAATAATAGGGACCCACACCTGGAATCGTTTTCCCACTGACTGCAACTTCCAGGATTCGGGGATTAGTCTTCCTTCCACCATCATCCCATACGGAGCCTTTCTATGGGATTTTTTTTTAAGTTATCTACTCATGGAATTTTCTAAAAAATCAGTAGCAAATCCTGAAACTCTTATTCTAACATTGTCTTGGTAAAAACAAGTTTTTGAAAATAGATTGTTTCTGTTAATGAAGTCTTTCTCTTGTTTCTTTCCTTCTTTCTTTCTTGCCTCTGAGAGATGAGTGAGATGCTGAAAAAGGTACCAAGTCTTTTGTGTTTACCCTTCATCAGTCAACAGGTCCTAGGCTTTCACTTTCATTCTCTGCTTTGGTCCCTGTCCACCTTATGGAGTCTACTGGGTCCTGACGTGTGTGTATGTGTGTGTGTGTGTGTGTGTGTGTGTGTGTGTGTGGTGTCCCCTTAGCAATGACCTTCAGATGCCTGCAGCTCCACGGTGAATGTCCAGCTTTGTCTTTTGGCCCATTTCATTTTGTCAGGATTCTTATTTAGCTTTGAATCTAGGAAGTGGTGGGTCTGAATGTCACCTGCATGCTGGGAGCTACCTACCTCCAGTGTTTCCATGGCTATAAAACCCCAGAGCTGCTTCTTACAGAGACAGTGGGTCTGTGACAGTTATTTCTGATCAGTGGAGCTGTCGAACTGTAGGTATTCAAAGTGGGGGGTGGGGGGAGTAAGCCCATTCAGCTTCCTGTAAGTATGTATATGAACCTCCAGGTTAAAGAATTGAGCCACTTAAGAACCTTCCAAGTTTCATGTTGAATCAAATGGTGAAGTTGTCAGCTCCACCTTAATTAGTTTCACGACAAATGACCCGAATTCTTTCAGCACGGAGCTTTTGCTTGGCACTTCTTAGGTTACCAACATAGCATCCGACTCACTCCTTAAATTACTGTTTCACGCCATGAAATGGCATCCCAGTGGCCTAAATAAGTATTAATGACCATTGATACTTATTAAGTGTTTACCTTGTACATGCTCGGTGCAGAAATGAACAAAGAATGATTCAAACATGGGCCCCACCATCAGGAAGCACTAGTTACAGAACCAAAATATAACACGGAACATCCAGGTCCAAGTGGCAGAAAATGTTTGAAACACTTTTTTCAACTTGGAAGCCCACAGTCCTGATTCAAGATTGTCACCTTCCTTTCTGGACAGTGCCTGTGTCTGCTTCTTCAACGCTCCCGTAGTGCATTGTTTATCCCCATAGAAGTTCTGGTCAAGTCCCCTAAGCACCTGATTGCTCATCCATGTTCTCCCCTGGACTAGAAGCTCCTTGAGGGGACTGTTTCAAACTCATTCACCCAGAGTGCCTGGAACCTTGCAGACTCTCAGCAACATGTTTCAAATAACCAGATGGATGAATAAATAAATGAATGAGTCTGAAGGAAACAGGGATGAAATTTTACTAGGTGCTTTTTTTAATTTTTTTTTATTATTTCAGAGGGGAAAGAAGGGAGAGAGAGAAACAATAATGATGAGAGAGAATCAGCAATCGGTTGCCTCCTGCATGCCATCCACTGGGGATCAAGCCCACAACCTGGGCATGTGCCCTGACCAGGAATCGAACTGCGACCTCCTGGTTCATAGGTCGACGCTCAACCACTGAGCAACACTGGCCAGGCAAACTGTGTTTTTATCCACACCATCCTTGTTTCATAATTCTCCATCTTTCTAAAATTGTAATTCTTTCTGGCCTGGCAGTTCTACCGTAGGAGCCCATCACACACCTATATAAAAGCCCTAGGAGCTCACCTTTTCCATTTATTTATGTATTCACCACAGCACCTATTAGATAGCTGCCATGCCTTGCCACTGTGCTGAGTTGTAGGTGGTTATGATGATGATGATGTTGTCAAGATTCTGATAGCAGGGGGATATCCTGTGGGAATATATAGGAGGCCTTTGGAGATGTCCCTGTCCTATGGAACCCCCACAACCGCTACCCCAATTTCTCAGGGTACAGAGACCAAATTAGAAACAGAAGCCATGGCCCAGCTCCCATATAAGAGAGTCAAGAATAATCAGCATACTTGATTCTAGTTGAAGTCATAAACAGTAATGTGAGAGTTTCCATTTACTCATTCACTGAACAATATTTGTTAAGCACTTACTATGTGCTGGGTAGCATTCAGTACTGGAGATAAAAACCAAGATCAAAACAAAATCCCTGACTTCAGAAAACTTAAACTGTGGAAGAGACAGAGTAAATAAACATATCCTATAACTGTGATTTTAAATGCTAAAAAAATAATATAAAGAGAGATGAGGGGAATAACAGCGAATGAGGGGGAAAGCTGGATGCATTTTCATCCTCAAAAAAGAAAACCATAAAAACAAAATAAAAAGCTTCAAGCACTGCCTAGAATCTAAATTGAACTTAAAAATTAATTTCCTTAATTTCCCTAATAAAACTGTATTTGAGTTTGACTCGAAATTCTTTGAAATGTAAGTAACAATGCATATATTTTTAGACTAAGCAACACATTTTTTATGAAAACATTTAAAGAGCTGCTTTTTGTGCTATATTTTTAGCAATGGCTTGAGGGGAAAAGTCAATTGAAATTTGTTCTGTTTCATCTGCTTTGAGTTACTTTCAAAAGTCTGGGAAATGGTAGCTCACCTTGGATCAAAGAACTACTAAACTAACTACTATACCTGTGATGTTTCCAGTTCTGCTCCCTTTTCCTTGAGAACATTACTGTTATTATATTGATTATGGATTTGAAACTTTTTAGTACATCCATATACGTCTGTAAATTTGTTGTCCATTTAATATAAGTTGCTTAAGTTTTACATTTGGGATTTTAGACTTCTGAGTCCTTCTTGCCTCTAAAACCAACATCAAAATACACATCAAACTATTGCTTGGTCTCATCAATCATAATTAGTACCTCATCATTTACATTTTTGAAGTTGTTTTATTAATCGCATAGGGCTGCTTGTCTGTGAACTACTTTCTTTCAATCCTGTTAAGTATTTTTAAGTATTTAATGAATCCATCTAATTTGAAGATTATGAAGCGTCAGGGACACGGGGCATGGTGGTGTTGGATCACTGAATCGTAATTCCTGGAGCTCACATTTAGTTTGGGCTGACTGTGAGATCTGAGCAAGTTCTACTGTGTCTCCTGTAACCATATGCAAACTCCATGGAGTCTTTCTCTTTGAAGTTTGATTCTCAGGAAGATGAGAAATTGCTCCAAGCAACAGAGAAGTTTCACGCTGAATGCGCCTTAAAGTTCCCAAATCGGCAGTGCCTTACCACAGTGATTGACATAAGTGGGAAGACGGTTTTTGTTACTCGTTATCTCAAGCCTTTAAACCCTCCTCAAGAGCTTCTTGATGCTTATCCCAATGACCCACAGGCCACCGCAGTAAGTATGTCATGACCAATCAAACCTGGGGCTAAAAGTGGGTTAAAGTTTCAATATATTACCATCTTAACTATCATATTTCATAGTAGTTAAGAAAGTAACGATAGCCCTGGCTGGTGTGGCTCCTTAGTTGGGCATCGTCCTGTCCACTGAAAGGTCGCAGGTTTGATTCCCAATCAGGGCACAAGCCCAGGTTGTGGGCGTGATCCCAGGTGTCAGTATGTGTGGGAGGCAGACCATCAATGCTTCTCTCTCCCATTGATGTTTTTCTCTCTCCCTCTCCCTTCCTTTCTAAAAAAAAAAATCAATAAAAAAAACATTTTTTAAAGAAAGTAACTAAATTAAGATCATTAGTGATTAAAACATTTTTATGACCATGAGGCTTGTGTTCTTTAGAAAAGTTTGAAGGTTCCAGAGAGGATAATAACTTTTGGTTCTTTCTTTCAACACGTATTAAGTGCTTACTGTATCCCTGACACGATACCGGTGCTGGGAAATGGATATTTGGGAGATGCTCTACGCTTTCAGTGTCTTCCATAAATGTCTTCATCATGTATTCTTGGTACCTTCATAGCATCTGAACCCAGGCCCTGACTTCAGAACCCTGGCACTTCCCATTGTACCAAGACAGTGTTATACCTAACGTTACAAGCATCTCTGAATTCCAATTATGCAAAAATGCCTTCCAGTATTTGAGTATATACAGCACGTGTGCCATCAACACCAAGCACGTCCAGAGTGGCCCATTGAAAATGCACATGCCTTCCTCTGCTCACGGCTATTCAGCACAGCTCCCAGGGACAGAGCCCGTGTGGTCAGCAGGCTCTTCAGTGAGCCCTGTAACCCTGACTGTCTTTAGGGAGGGGATAGTGTTGGGACTAATTTCTGCTAATAAGTTATTAATTAGTAATTGAGTAATATAGTCATTTAGGAACAGGATAATGAGATATCTATTTGCAGATATAAATACATAAAAAAACCTTGTTTTCCACATTTCATTTACTTTTTTTATTAATCGACTTTTATTGAAAACTATAAAGGGACTTCTATTGTCTCTAGTATAGTAGAGTAGGAAGAAAACTTCTCCCAGCATAGAACATTTAAGAGTGATGAATTAAATATTAAAAACATTTTTAAAATCATAGCTGAAATAGGAAGAGACAGGAAACAGCAAGAGAGCAAGATTCCACAAGGGTGAGGGCTTGAAATAGTGTTTGCCTTGAGGGCATCAAATAATTCCCGGTGCCTAGAGCTGGGTTTTCATGGGCCACAAGGCTGTTGGGGGGGGAGGGGGAGGGGTGAGCAGGCCGAAGGCTGAAGGAGAGGCTCCACTACAATTAGAACCCTTGATAGGTGACACCAATATGAACTAGGAGCTACCCTGCCCTGCAGGAGGAAGCCTGCCTGACTCAGCCTTGACTCTGGACAGAAGAGAAAACAAGGAACGTCTCCCCCTAGGAATTCCTAATCACAAAGCTGTATTTATTCACATTCAGTGCTGGAATTTACACAACCAGTAAGACCCAGAAAAACTCCAACTGAAAATTTAAAGGAAAGTACACCCTGTTGGTAGTACCCCTAGATCTCTGTCAGAAGCAACACAAATCCTTCTAGAAAAACACCCTTTAAGCTCAGCCTCAAAAAAATTCCACAGAAAAAGTTCCAAGCAACATGAACATATAAAAGAGCCTCAGTGGAGAAATAAGTCACCATGAAGAAGGGAAGAGTTAACAGAAACAACAGACTGTAGAATCAGGCCATAACCACTGAAGAGATTGTAATGATCAGATTCAGAATATAAGATGGGTATGTTTAATAAGTTTCAGAAGTCTAGGGAATTGAATATATAACAAAAGAACAATAGACTATTGCCCTGGCAGGTGTGGCTCAATTGGTTGGGTGGCATCCTGTGCACTGAAATGTTGCCAGTTCGATTCCCAGTCGGGACACATGCCCCTGTTGTGGGCTCGATCCCCAGTAGGGGACATGAAGGAGGCAGCCAATCAATGTTACATTCACACATTGATGATTTGGTGTTTTTTTTCTCTCTCTCCCTCTCTCTTCCTCTTTCTATAAAAATCAATAAAAATATTTTCGTAGCCCTAACCAATTGGCTCAGTGGATAGAGCGTCGGCCTGCAGACTGAAGGGTCCCAGGTTCAATTCCAGTCAAGGCCATGTACCTTGGTTGTGGGCACATCCCCAGTAGGGGGTATGCAGGAGGCAGCTGATCGATGTTTCTTGCTCATTGATGTTTCTAACTCTCTATCCCTCTCCCTTCCACTCTGTAAAAAAAAAAAATCAATAGAATATATTAAAAAAATATTTTTTTAAAGAACAATAGACTATCAAAATTGGCAGATGTTAAAAGTACACTTGTAGAAATAAGACTGTATAGTTAACATTAGAAATTAAACAGGTTAAACACAACATTAAATGGAGTTAAATACAGAGTTAAGAAACATACAACTAAATACAGAGAGAATTAGTAAATTAGAGTACACATGCAAAGAAATTATTTGGTATATAGCACAGAGACTTTTTAAAATGGAAAATATAAAGGTTAGGAGACATAGATAGTAGAGGAAGGAGAACCCAATTATGTATAAAAGGAAAAAAGCAATATTCAAAGAAAAAGAGCTGAGAATTTTCAAGATTTGATGAAAGACAACAATCTAATTTAGGAAACCCAGTGAATCCTGAGTAAGATAAATAAAAAGAGATGAAAATCTAGTCATATCAGAGGGAACTACACAGACAAGGAAGATCTTAAAAGCAGCTCAAGAGAAAACATAATCTACAAAAGAAAGTGGTTAGATCAATAGACTTCTGAGATGCACAAATGAAAACCAGAACAGGAATAATATCTTCAAAAAAACTGAAAAAATAGCCAACTAACTAATAATTTATAGCCAGTGAAACTATCTTTCACACAAACATTGGGAGAATTTACAGCCAAAAAACACTCACTTAGGGAATTCCTTAAAATATATACTTCAAAGAGAACAAAGGTTCTCAGAATTTCTAGATGAACCACAGAATGCTAGGTAAGAAAAAAAGAAAGGAAATTTTGAAAAACATTGTTTTCATAGCAATCATAATAGCAATGTGGGTGAAATATCAGGATAGAACAAAAATCCTGAAAATAATGCATATATGTCAGGACAGGATTGGTAAAAATATTTTATTTTTTCAATTTATCCTCCCTTTACCCTCTTCTACCTCTCTTTCCCTCTAGCCATCATCTTACTGTTTGTTGTCTATTTTTTGTTTTTTGTTTTCTTAATGCTTTGAGCTTTTTCACACAGCCCCCAATGCCCCTCCCCTCTGACAGCTGTCAGACTATTTCATGTATTCATGCCTCTGGTTCTATTTTGTTCCTCAGTGTATTTTGTTCATTAGATTCAACATATAAGTGAGAGCATATGGTGCTCGTCTTTCTCTGACTGGTTTATTTCACTTAGCATAATACTCTCTGGGACCATCCAAGCCGTCACAAGATGAGGACAAATATATTTATTAATTTTTGAATTCAAGTGAAGTTTTCATGTTGAAATTTCTATATTAACCACTTAAAAGAATAAGAAAAGTGAATACTATAACTTCCAAAATAGCAGCAGGAAAAAAAAAATAATGAAATAGGGTAAAGAGAGTGGGGAGAGGAAATATATAGGAAAAGTGCAAGAAATAAAAAGTACAGAATAAGGTAGTAAAAATAGTCTATATATTTACCGATAATCACAATCAAAGCTAAGGGATTAACTTTCCAGTTAAAAGACAAAGACTAAAAAAAAAAAAAAAAAAAAAAAAACTGTTAAAATAGATTTCCAGTTTTTAGTGGAACTTGACAAGCTGATTCTAATATTTCTATGGAGTGCAAAGTGTCAAAATAGCCTAGACAACCCTGCAGAGTAAGAACTCAGTGGGAAGATTTGCGTCTTCATTTAAATGAATGTAATGACAAAATAAACACGTTCTTAAGAGGAAAAAGACAAGAAAGATTTGTCATCCCGCACATCCAGACTGCTGATGAGACCAGAGTGATTAAGGGAAAATGGTATTGACACATTTAGAACAAAGAGAAAATTAAGAGAGAATAAAAACTCCAGACTAGATCCACTCAAATATGATCCACTCAAACCTGATACGTGACCAAGCTGGCATTAGAGAGGAATAAAGAAAAAATGGACTGTTACATCGATTGTACCAGGATCACTGATTTTTCATATGAAAAAATAAAAACAGATTCCTGCTTCACGTCATTCAATTGCAGATAGATTGAGGACTCACATATGAGAAGCATTTTTATCTTTCTGATCTGAGATAGAAAGTTTTTCTTCAACAAGACAGAAAAGTACAAACTATAAAAAGAATGATAAATTTGACCACATTAAAACTGAGAACTTGAGTTTATGAAAAGGCACCGTAAAAAACTGAAAGGACAAGTCACAAATCAGGAGGGGATATTTGCAACATGTATAACAGACAAATGAATAGTAGCTAGAATATGTTAAAAACAAACAAACCTACAAATCAATTAAAAATATGCAGAAGTGTCCCTAGCTGGTTTGGCTCAGTGGATAGAGTGTCAGCCTGTGGACTAAAGGGTCCCGGGTTCGATTCCAGTCAAAGACACCTACCAGTTGGGGCTTGATCCCCAGCCCTGGTCAGGTGCATATGGGAGGCAACCAATTGATGTGTGTCTCTCTCACATCAATGCTTCTCTCTGTCTCTCTCCTTCCTTTCCACTCTCTCTAAAAAATCAATGGACAAATAGATTTGAGGATTAACAAAACAACAACAGAAATATGCAGAAGTGAAAACATGAGAGGCCATATGAAAAGATGCTCAACCTTCTTAGAAATTACATAAATCTGAGTTACATCAAAGGTGCCCTGACCTTGGTTTCTAAATGCTATTGCCCTTTAAAAGGAGAAATGGCTGCTTTCAGGACTGAGCTAGGAAAAATACAAGATGATCCCGGAAAGCCTCTTTTTAGCAGAGAGTAAGGAAGAATGTGGTGGGGGGAGCAGGGGGGAGCGCGAGTGGGGGATGACAACATTTCAGAGACAGAGGGGCCAGTTTCTTCATCTGTAACAAATGGATAATAGCAACGACCTTCTTCATAGGATGTTTGGAGAGGGGAAGCCCTCGGCGAGCATGAGCATTCGTTGCGTTTTGTACACACAAACGTTTGTGATATATGAAACTTTCTTGCAGGCAATGAGGCACAGGATCCGGCCTTCTATTTGATAGAAATTATTTTTTAAAGCCAGTTTTGTTTAAACAGGAACTGGTGGCTCGGTACGTGTCACTGATTCCCTTCCTGCCGGACGCTGTTTCGTTTGCGGGCATCTGTGACCTGTGGAGCACGTCTGATGTAAGTCGTTCTTCCTCACAGCTTACGGTTGGAGCTGACTCCTCCGAGTATTGGCTAAATGCCTTGCATGACTTTCAATTGCCACATTCATTAGTCATTATCAAAATCTACTGTCACCTGTTTCCAGGATGGGCTGAATTCTGAAGTAGTTTTTCTTTCTGGATTAATCTGCCCAAAGATCAAAAATTCACTTTTTTTTTATTTGCACAAAGAAATTTAAACAAAACAAACACTTCTGATGCCTTAACTCTGATTTATCCTTCAAGTATTGCCTTATCAACAACCCAGTTTTATTCATTAAAAATAACAGCTACAGCCTCTGTTACATTTGGAATTGTATATTCCTTCACTTGTGGGCTTCTTAAGGCATGCCATGTCATTATTCGTTCAGCATGTATTCTGGGCCACCTACCAGGTATCAGACACTGTACTAAGCTCTGGCTACAAGTGAAAGAAGCATGGTGTCTGCTCTCACGAGCTTACAGTCTGTGTGCCACTAACTTCCAACGGGATCTTCTGGAGGGTAAACAAACATGTACCGCTGGTATTCATTCTGTTTCTACATTTCGGGTTGTATTGTGTTTGCATAAAATTAAACTATATTATGCAACGCCCTTTGGAGGATTTAAAAAAACAGGTCATATACTGCAAAGCACTCATTTTAACAATGATGTTTTAAAACCCTACACAGCCGATCCAGAATAAAGCAGTCAGTCAAGGCAACATGATTTTTTTTTTCTTTTTGTCAGCAATTCCTGGATCTCCTGGCAGGAGATGAAGAAGAACATGCAGTATTACTATGCAACTATTTTCTCTCCCTGGGGAAAAAGGCCTGGCTCATGATGGGCAATGCCATTCCCGAGGTAAGACCGGTGGGCTGGCTCTAACAGAGGCGTGGCGTTGTCTAACAGGGTTGCTATGTTCCAGATCATAAACAGGGCTGATTCTCATACCTGTCTTTTGAGTTGTAAGGAAAGTGGCCCAGAAATTCCCTAATAGGCAGAGAGGACCAGTGATAAGACACAAAATGGTTTTCAGCCATACCGAGTACCAGGCCCTACACAAGACTTCAGATTTTTTT